TCTCAAACTATTTGCTAACTTTAATTCAAATTAAGCACAGCAGTTCCTACCAAAAGCAAAAGCATATTACTCCTCAAACTGTGAGAAGTAAAGTAAATATTTCACTTAAGCAACTGTGGTGGCAGCCTTCTTATAGTACTTTAGTCATATAAAATTTATACAAATCATACAGTTACTTTCCTGCAGAGCTGAGAGGCCTGTAAAACTGGCAAAACAGCATTGTGAGTAAGCAGAAAAACTGATTACTGATCCATATAGGAAATTTAAGAGTTGATTCTACAAGAGTACAAGCATTTTCTTCTCCTATGCACATGAGGAACATAATTTTTCTTTCACTGCAGGGAAGTGTCACTTTGAAATGGACTCTCCATCCCTGAAATACAAAATTCAGTACATTTCCTCAAGGTTTCTTTTCTCCTTTTTTTCTTCTTCTTCCCCCTCTGTTTTTTTTTTTTTTTTTTCTTTGCTTTTTTTTTTTTTTTTTCTCCCCTCTATTGTGCTCTATTTTGGGTCATTTAGACCATACACTTTGATGGAGGGCATCCTTCTTCTCTGAATTTATGAATCAAAATGTATTCTCCAATGGATACCTGGAGGTATAATTTGCCTCCTAACACTCTTCAATCTTTATTGCTGACACATTCAAGGATGCCTAACTCCCACAAGAAAAAAAACCCCACATTAATCTTCAAAAATACGTCCTTACCTGCCTTCTGAAAATGAAAATATATGTTCTTCAAGAAATTATCTGAGTTTCACTACAAACCCTGAGGATCATGTACTTTTGGAAACAATTTTGGATCTGAAAAATTTATAAATAAAAATATGCTGGTAGATTCAGGCCATACAAACCCTGCATGGTGCTAAGTCTTTCCTTGGAGGCATGAAGCACTCAGCTTCCCTCAGCAGATGTCAACAGAAATCAAAAAGCACTCAAGCAGCCTCCTGGATGCGATCTGTGGGATTCCTACATATACTTTTTCTGAATACTGGAGAGAATGACTTCTTTTGCTTAATGCTTTTGTAGGTGATAATATATTAGGGAAACATCTCCGAAGAACACATTGTCACCCACAGGTGCTAAATCAAATACCCATTCAATTACTATTGAAGTTAAAAAAATAAAATAGCTAAGTTGGGGATCTGAAAGTGGACAGGCAACTCAAGGAAAAGGCCTAAGACAACCTCTCTGCTTCTAGATACTGCAAGAAAAAACAACCCTAAAAGGAGAGTGATGCCTTTCACATTACATATTCCTTCTGCTGCTTTATGTGCAGAAGAACTTTGGAATAGCCTTTGAAGGAGAGGTCACTTTACACACCAGGGAGCACTCCTATCTCTTGGTTTAGCAAGGGACATAATAAATGCCAGTCACAGAAAAAGAAATTTTGAAGGCTTGTGGGAATTTAAAAACTATCTTCATGTTGAGCTGATCCTGGTAGCTAAAAGAGCAAGCAGATGCACAGTTGAGGGTCACCAGAAACAAGTTAATTCTTTCCTTTTTCCTTTCTTTTAAATTTTATTTTAAAATTCTCCACTTGGAATGTACTTTTAATTCTAAAGTATTAACAGAAAAGAATGTTTGATTTTCATCTCCTGAAAATTATTAACCTAAATGTTTACTTGTGGATGCTAAGATTCTTCCACATATATTGAACTGGATATAAAAACTGAGGTCTCTAGATGGTCAAACTTTATTTTACTTTAGGTAAAATACCTGTATTTTGATTCTTTGCACTGAAACAAGAATTTCTGATACTGTGTCATAGCAACTATTCTGAAAATGCCAAAGCATGGAAAAATAATAAGGACTATGCAGTATGTGTAACACCTGCCAGGTGCCTTGTATCACCACATCTCAGTATATCCCACCACGCAATACCCCCAGTGTCCTGTTCCCTCTGATGCACAAACATGAAATAAATTATACTTAAAATTAAAACAAAGGTCAAAACCAAAACAAAACCCCAAACAATTTTTATTCTCTTAATTTGTCCTAAATGAAAACATCAAGATCCAAGCAGCGGTAAAACTTACTAAGAGAGATGGAAAATATGAGTAATTTTAATTGATATCAACATCTGGCACATATACATATGATTAACGAGAAATATTTTTCTCCCTTCTCCATACCCCTCCTAGAGAAATTTTTACTTTTACTTTAATTCAGCTTCTTAATTGGTATCCAGGTCTAAAACGGTTTTAAACAGTACAACTATAAGGAACAACTAAGAATAATCCATTTTTGACTGGTACTCACTTTTAAGATTCAAATAGAAATTAAACAGAGCTAGCCAAAGACAGAAAAATCACAGGCAAGCGTCCCAATTTAAAGTTTAAGTAAAATAGAGGAGAAGCTGTTAATTTGAACTGGCAGTCATGAATAATGAGATTCACCAGGACCATTTTTTTGCAGTTTCTGGAGCTGCGGAATTTCCCAGCAGAAATGCACCATAAATACCACATATATCAGCTACACCCAGTTACCTGCAAATGCTGCTGACTCACAGCTGAGTCAAATCTCAGTCATAAAAATGATCAGCTGAGTTGTTCCACATCCATTCTCTTTTCCAAGCAATGGAAAACATCAACAAAAAATTTGCCTTTCCCTCTGTGTGTCTACTATAACACATTCTCCACTGAGATGCAACCAAAAGGCGGCTACAAGCCTTCTTGAGGAGGTAAAAGCATTCCTCTCTCCTGTTCACAAATACTGTTTCATATGAGTTTTGTCCCACCATCATTCAATGCCTCTAGCTACATTTTTTGTCCTCCGATGTTACTATTAGGGGAAAGATTGTTTCTTTGTCCCATGTTTCTACAATGCACTTCATAGATGACTCTGATAAACAGTTAAAACATTTAAGATCTACAAAGGCTCACCAGAGAAAATATAGTAACAATAAGGCATTAATATCAGCTGATATCCTACAGAGAACTACCATATAGTACTCCCTCCTCCCCACCAACTTTCTAGCATCCTGAAAGCCACTTCTCCAAGCCTGGTAACATGCAGATACCTTATTCCCTAAGCAGGAGCTAGACAGAAAATTTCTTCTCCATATGTTACTCCTGTCTTTCTCCACCTGAGGCAGACCATTCTTTTACAATAATTCAATTTCATGAGCTACATAGAAATATGTAAGAGTTACTTATATAGTATCAAGATTATGTTGGTAGGATCATTATGCCACTTATCCCTAAAAGTTGCTATTACAGTTAAAAATAGAAGTTATACATCTTTGGCCATGAATGGTCAAAAAATGATCTAAAAAAGGAGGCATAACTACCAGTTTCTACACAAGGCATACATAAACAGGAAGGCAAACAGCACAACACAGAGCATCATGTGAGGAAATGGAAAACAATACTTTTTTCCAAGCTTTTCACCTGGCAAGACAGTATCAGACTAGACTTCAACTGCAGATAATGCTTGGGTTTAGTGTTAAAATTTTCTACAGCCCTACATTTTGGCTCAAAAAACATACATCATTCGCAGCACCAACAAAAATCACTTTGCAGTTTCAACAAGACTGCAGTTTGCCATGTTACCTTCAAAGTAAAGGTACTGAATCGACTATTATTAAAAATCATGAGGGATTCAGATCTTGTTTGCAGGATATACTGCCCAGCTGTAATACCCGCTCGATTGAGGCCAGACTTCTTGTATGGAGACAGCATCATTATTTCATGAATCAGCAGTGACCTTTGGAAGATACTAGGAAAAGCAGGCATGTTCATTCCCTTCCATTGATTTTCTAATTTTGAGTAAATTGGTTTAATCTGGGGAATGGTTATCTATTAGGAATAAAAATACCTAAACTGACTTTAGAAAACACTATAAAGCTTTTGAACTGAAACAATGAATTTAGAAGGGAAACAAGGCAAAAAGGCAGTTATGATATAAATCTTAACTTGGGCATGATTCTTCGGCCAGCCACACAAGTATAAAAGAATTGGAATCTCTCTAAACTTAAAAGACAGATCTATAGGCTCAAACCTTAGTTTTACTGCACTATGTCTGGAATATGTGTCTGGTTTACCCATGAAATATCTGCTGTTGAAAAAGACTGCGGGAAAACTACTCACCTAAAATGGGAAGTAGAATGGGTATTATTTTCATCTGGTTAAAATGAGAAATAACATGCTGAATGTTGAGAACATTGGACAGTCCTGAATCTAACCAAGTTAGAAGACAAGTTCAGTAAATCAGCATATATCTGAAACAGCCTGCAAGAAAAGAACTTGGTCTTCTCCAGGAACTGAGAAGCACAAGGGGCTATGTAATCAATGGAAATGGGGATTTATAGAGTATCTGTTTAGATCATCATTGTATTGGTGCCCAGATCTCAATATATTTGGACAACTAAACCTTTGTTTTAACAGATTGGCTCTACTTTATTATCTTCTGAACATGAAATTATCATACCTAAGCTTTCTTTGCTATTAATTTATGTTCTCATAATGTTAATGATCTATAATAAACATAGATTTTGGCACTGCAGTAATTCACCTTAAAACCACATGCAGACTACTTTTACTACTCCTTTTTTGTATTTTCAATTTTTGTCTATGGGGTACCAAGTTAATTAGTCCATTAAGTCCACCAAACAAAAAGAAAATTCTAGAAAAGGATTTAAAGCACCAAACTGTAACAATCTCATAGCAAGCTAAATGCACAATTAGCTTTAGGGTTTTTTCACTTCCAAACCATGGATTGGTAATTTTAACTTGAATTCCACTTATTCCTGAGATCTTTGCTCTCACCATCCAACACTAAATGACTTGCCCAGAAATTATGAACTACTAGATTTATAAATATTGATCAGAGCATATAACTTCTTGTGCCCAAACAAGAAATAAAGAAAATTATTAAAACACTCCTGAAAGTTGAACTTAAGAATCCTCACTGCCACAATACTTTGAACCTCTTTTCACATCACAGAAGAAAATTACAGGCACAAACATTAAAATATAGGAATAGGAAAACATTCACTTACCTCACGATCCAACAGCACAGGTGACACAACTGTAACAATATCTCCCTTTTCTGGGTCAATATAGAACATATTTGGAGATGGTTTGGTAGGTGTCTGTTTGAGGATGTTATATCGCAGAAGAGCATTGTCTGTGCTGGAATCATCAGCATCAAACGCCGTCATACGCATCACCGTCGTTCCTAACACGGAGGCAGACAGAGCACAGAATGCAGTTAGCAAGGACGTGTACAATTAAATTGCCTATTGCCTTCACATGTGAGACTCAGGTGGGCACCATACATAATTACCTCATCAAGACCTCTAAGTGTTTTCACCTGATATTTAGCCTGTGCTTGCATTTGTGTTAGCTTTACTTGCTACTGAGCCAACAAGAAGAGACTAGTGTTTCTGGTTTGCAGCAAACGTGTGACTTTAATATAAATTCCCCATACTTGAATGCCTTCTTGCCACACATATTAATTGCATTTCACTAAATGACCTATAGATGTATCTTTTTCACTTTAAATTCTAGAAAGTCTACAGGATATTTATGATGAAGATGACAATGCTGAAATAAAAGAAAGATCTCTATTTTCATTTTGAAGTCTTGCACAGTTTCAAAATTGGTTGGAAATTATAATTTCTGTCAGAAAGACGTTTCATAATGATTAAAACCTACGTTATTCTAATTTCAATTTGTACAAATTTATGGGCTTACTGTATCAGCCTCAATAAAAAAAAGCACCATATAGACCCAAAATAACCACACCTCTATTGCCAGGCTATCCTTCAAGTGATGAAGGATTTTTTAACATGAAAATCCTATAGCCTACAGTTCTGCTACCGAGTGAAATAAGGTAAATGCCCTCGACTGCACAGATTTCTAAATGATGTACAGAGGAGAAACCTCACTCTTCTACATCAAAGTTAATACAGGGAGGACTTGGATACTGCCAATTGTCTACTTAGCCAGTAGAACATATACTTCTGCATCACAGAGTCAAGTGTTTTCCTCTCCCTTAGACAGGAACAACAGGGGCTGACAGCCTAGAAAATTCTGTCATAGCATTCCTTTATTTGCTTTTTACAGTACATTGAGAACCAAAGAAAGGAAGTAATTAGACATGCGGGCTGAATGGTGAGATAATCACCCTTAGACCATTAGAATTTCTTAATCAGTTCATTTATAGGTATAAATGTAAGCATTATTTTTTAAAAAAATCAAACTAAAAATAATATTACAAGGTCATTACATCAAAACTCAAGTATATCTGGTAATATCATCCTGAGGAAAGAATAAATCCTACCAAACAACAAAAGAAATTATGATCAAATCAAGAAACTAGTTTCAATGGTGTATAACAGTTAAGTCACAATTTAATGCAAAAGGTATTAGCAAACTTTCAACTAATAAGGAATCTAGGAAGGTAACAATTCTTTTGCCTAAAAGTCCCAACTAAAAACTTTATCAAATTATATGATTTACTTTTAAGTAACTTAGCACTGAAACCCTATTATCTAATGTCTGAACCACAATGTTGAACTTAGTTATAATTTTTTGTTAGAGACTATTGTTATGTGGTGGCTAATCCTTCCTTTCCCCCCACAGACTTTCAGTTGGCAAGTATTATTTTAAAATATGACAAGGAAAAACATTTCAAATACAAAATTTTCATTTCTTAACAGGTCTGTGAGACTATATGATCTATTCTCAGATCCACATAGCCCTTTGTGGCAAAATAAGCACAAGTGATTAAAACCTTCTGGTACAGACAAGGCCTAAAACATTACACTGGAAGTGTCTGCAGAGCAGAAATACATATTGTTCATGTACAATGATAAACAGTGATTTTATATCCTTGTGGAGGTCTTCAAGCACAGATCACTTAAAACGCAAATAAAAGTGAAATATTGTGGTAAAAGTAAAACCAAACCCCGCTTCATTTATAGCCTGACATAACAACTGCCTGGTTCACTGTTAAGCAAACACAACTGGCTTGTTTAGATATGTTTCTTCTTTTTTTCTTTTGCTGTACTTCCCCGAGTACAAAGTATTGCCTCTTGTTGTAGTGACCTTGAATATAAGCTCTCAAAGGTTTTGCTTCATTGCTACTTCAGGCAGAGTTACCCTCTTGAGAAAAATAACAGAGATCTGACAGCGTGTTAGTTTTACTCACCAGTGATTAAAGGTCAGACAGCTCAAAAAGAAGCTTACCACTGGATACCATGCCATGTTTTCCAATATTACAAGATGATCCTAGCCCTGATATTTTCACCTACTTTGTTTGAGACTTTTTCAGAAGAAAAAAGAGCAAGTTTCTCTTTTGAAGAATGAAGATTCACCCTTTTCAGAAGTACAACATGCTGTGCTATTTTTTTAGGTATTTATTGCATTTTGAGAAGATTATTTATATTCATATTAGATAATGTGTCTCATGAAGATCTCCCAAGTCACAAGACTTCAGTGAAATAAGTAAGAATTAAGGCAAATCTTCAAGGGATCTTAAAGAGTACCCAAGCACAAGTGAAATTCAATGAGCTTTGGTACACAATTCTTTCCTGAAAATGCAATTTTGTAAGATGCTATACTCAAGTACATTGGACTATATTTTAAATGAATATACAGTTGCTACCACTACTAATCTATTAGAGGAGCTGATGCTCAGCAGCAATTTAGAAACTGATTAAAATATATCCTCAGGTAGAAATCCTATTTAGACAGTTGTCCTAGACTATTCTACTGAAATATTTCTGATTGTAAGAATGTTGAAGGCACTTGCAGATTTTAAGATCTGATGGAAATCCCCAAATCTCTAGTTAGCCTGGCATAAAACTGGCTTCATACAATGGCTGAGTCTGATTCCGATTTGCCAGCTGCAGTTCTTTAACCTTCCAACTCACTGGACATTATCTTGTTCTGTGTGATCATTCCTCTGGTGCATACAGATAAGAAATTCCAGCAACTCAGAATAGCAGACTTTTACATTCATTTTGCATAGAAATGCTAGCTCCGAGAGGAAAGCTGTAGAGAATTAGATCCATTTGTTTCTGTGTTGCTTCTGTCAAAAGTTTTGAGATATTGGTTTCTAGCTACCACCAAAGTGGCATTTACATTTAAGTAAAAGCTATTCCATTCTCACAAATTCACATACAGATATAAAAATGCACATAAAATTTGGAGTTGTCTTTGCATTAGTCATTATGCATTAGTACAGTATATATAAGGTTGCACATGATTTCTGTTCATGAACACCAATACAGAAAACTACACCTCTTTAAACACCACCTATATGCTTGCATGGCTACAAGGATCAGAGGAGCTGCTGAGTGCTACAGCTGAAACAAAAAGGAAGCCCTTGCACCGAGTTGAAAGCTGGTGCTGGGGTTCTGCAGCCATGCTGAGAATGGCTTGTCCTCAGAAACATATCCTTTACACTCCTCTGCTCACAAGGAGGTTTGCAAACTAAGCAGAGTTCAATGCTGTCCATTCATTTCAAAGCACAGTCGTACCTACCCTATATTCCATTAAAACAAAAAACCCCACATACACAAAAAGCTAGAATGAGCTGGTATTTGTGGCTGATGCCTCAAAAATCACAACAGCTTTAAACCAGCAGCTAACTCCAGGGACCTTTTGGAGAAGTCCAGTAGCTACATTTCCAGGGAAGAACTTTCCTATCCTAGTTGAGGTGTTTACAGAGAGAGCACACTGGACCATACATTAGGAATTGGGCCACTACCAAAGAAAATGTTTACAGAGACCTCTTTCCTAAAAATACAGTGACACAAATTTTTATTTTAAAAATGCTCTACAGCATACATCCGGTCCAAAAGAGTTTAATTCAAGACGCACGCTTCCTCAGTATTACTCTTTCATCATAAAGTTTTATTCTTCATAAAAGATTCATTTCCCCAGACCCATAAACTGACTACTTCTAATTCAGTGTCATTTTATAAATACTTCCATTCCTGGCATCAATCAAATGCAGCTGGCTTTCAAACCACAAAACAACAGCTTGCTACATTATCATGTTAAACAATATATATTAACTTATCAAGCCGAGAAAGAAATGTCTGCAAAATCAGCAACTTTGTAGTTCTGCTGATGATGTGCAGATACCATTGAGGCAGTCTCTCTCAGTGAAGGTATAGTTATGCCTTGGTATATTTCAGTAATCATGGTTTATATGTCACACCTTCTGGACAGTTTCACTATTACCATAATCCCTCAAAACCTCAACTTGCACCTCCCAGAGCTCCTCATTGATCAGACATACATCCCACCAGCCAAGTCAGTGGTCCAGAGGCTGCAGCTATCAATCTGTTGATTGCTCATTTGGCCTGTAACTTGGCTTGGAAATGTTGGCAAAAAACTCCCCTTAGGCATTAAGAAGTAAAACACAATGCTTGCACAGTTTTGTGGTGATTGGAGCAGATGGTTTTTGGGAAAAGGTCTTTGGCATTTTTTTCTTTACTTCTTAATAACCTTTCTATTCCCTTCTCTTTTTTTTTTTCTGTCAAGATGCCAAGACAACATCAGCAACAGTTCAGCTGATGGATGAGATTACTACTACTTCCGTATTCCTCTTATTTCTTTATGTATTTATTTATTATATTCAGCTGCCAGGTTTATGAGAAGGACTGGAATGTAGTAGAAGTGAGGTCTATTTCTAGCTTGATTAAATGTGAACAAGTGTCTTAAGCCTACAGCCTAAAAAGAAGACTCTCAATTTGAATACTGACATGAAAATATTATCCAGTGTTAGGACTCAACAGTTTTAAGTTTGAGAGCTCTACTGCTCAAAAAAAAATATCACACTGCAGTGTTCTCATGTTATTTTCACTCTTTTTGTGAGTCTCTACTATATGTTCAGGTCATTAAATGCTTTCTACATGTGCTACAGAAAGGGAAAGGTCTACTTTCCTAATTAACGTGACTGGATTGCAGTTTTATTTCCACCTTTTTCACAAGTTCAGATGTACCTCCATGCACTGATCATAATCAACTGCACAATGGCATACCTCCAAAAAGTAAAGCTATTTTAACCCAAGGAGAACAAAGAATGAAAAATGGGATGAAAAAGGAAGAAATCAAGAGGGTTACCTATAATGCTTGAGCGCATTGCATTTATAGCGCCAGAAAAAAAAAGACATCAACCATCAGAAAATGGAGCAAAGGAGGATACCATTCTGACTACTA